GTCCGCATGCTGGCCGTTGACCATGCCTCCCTCCGCCATCGCCGCGAAGGTTATTGAGCGCGTAAGTTCGCGAGAGGCCCCACCACTGTTGGGCACTGCCCATGTCGGAGGCTAGCAAGCCCAAAACGAGCAAGTCCTGCACCCAGTGGCGGAAGGGATACACAGACTCGCGCTCGGGTGACCACGAGAACGGCTGAGGGGAAAAGATCGCACCGCGGCCGCCGCCGCCCTGTGGGCAGGCCCCACAAGGCACCAAGCTGGTGAGCCAGAACAGGACGGCCACGAAGAAAACGAGGACGCTGCCCCAGAACGTCAAGAAGGAGATCCTCCTCGATAACACCTCACCCCGACGATGGCTACGGAGGCGCCTTGGGCCTCGGGCCTGCGCAGGGACGAACGCCATGTCGAATTACGGGGCAGCCATGATGATGGATGATGCCGTCAACCTTGGTCGACACCGAGGTCGGTGAAACTGGTGCGTTAACCTTCAATGCTCCACTCGGGTGGTCGGATGCGCCCACAGGGACAACCAGCACTATCGCACACGTACCGAAGCACGCCGCTAGCCTAGGGAGGAGCCTCGCAATCATGCCCGACGCGAAGCTGCGGCCAGTGCCTGTGAGGTTGCGATGGGTCGAAGAACGTCGTGGCGGTCCTGTGGGCGAGTCGTTCCTCGCGGTGGCGCCGTCTGCTGATGCCCTCGCAACCGGACCAGTGGACGTCTGCGGCGAATTGTCAGTTGGCTTGCACAATAGCCATAAGCACAAGCCGCTCAAGAAAGGGAGGGCGGTACCAATGCGGAGGCGAAGGTATGTGCGAATGTGCGTCCACACCGCACAACGCGCACGTTCCGTGGATCGCGAGCTGGGATCGCCCCCAGCTCCGTCACCAACAAAAACTGCCGGGGTTGGGAGCTGCACGAGAGAAAGCAAGGCGGCATCCCATATTGATTGTAGTGTTTAACTTCTCCGCACGTTATTCACGCAAGCGTCGGCGCTGAAGCCGAACGGCAGCAGAACACCCTTTTTTGAGAACGGAGGAAGAGGAGGCGGAGGAGGAAACGGAAGAGGAGGAGGAACAGGAGGAAGAGGAACAGGAGGAACAGGAGGAGCAACAGCGGGAGCAGGAGGAGAAGAGAGATGAGGATCAAGGAAAAAACAAAAACAACTTTACACGCATCAACTTCTGAAGGAGGACGAAGCAAAAAATCCGCCGACCCCTTGTGGGTCACTAGGCGCAATGAGATTTCCCCCTCCCCCCCCCGCAATCCCCCCCCCCAGGGCTTCGGAATCGGAAAGTGTACCCCCCCACACAGGCCTCGCACGACGTCTGGTGGAAGTCATCAGGTGGGGTTCGGCCCTCCACGAGCGGGCCTGGCTCTCCCCAGGACCCTCGTGCTGCGCCAAAATGGCCCCCGAAATCTTCAGACGACCTCGAAACCTCTCGACACCCAAAATGGCCCCCAAGGCAGCCCAAAAGGCGCCCAACATGCCCCCACGAGGCTTCTCTGACACCTCCCAAGTTGACCCCAAGAAGCCAAGATCGTCGAATTCTCCTTGGAAAACGCACACTTCTAGCACATGCCAACTTTTCCGCTTCCCAGCAATCCAAGACGGCCCAAGAAACCCTCACAACCGCCCCAAGACGGCCCGAGGCCCCCAAGAGAGCCCAGACGGCCCACGAAGGTTCCAAGACAGTCCGAAAGGCACCCATGACGGCCCAAGGGAGCCCTAAGACGGTCCCAAGAGGCACCCAAGAGAAGGAGACGAATCGACAATACGAACCCTCCGCCCCGTGATGCCCCCAGGAGGCCCCAAGAGGCCCCCAAAACGTCCAGGGAGGCCCAAGAACAGTTCCCAAAACAGTGCAAAACTGCCCCCCGGATGCCCCCTCGATGCCTCCGACGACATCCCAACGGAACATTCAAGAAGCTTCCGACCCACAACCTGCGCAGGGTGGCGGGATGGGCCGGAGGCCGTTAGGAGAAGGCCACCAAGCGGGCGCCCCGCCATTCTCCGCTCCCTCAAGCTCCTGCGAGTCACCTTCGAACTCGCCCTTCAACCTCCTCTCCCCTCACGCATTCCCTCATTTGCCTCACTCCCTCCCCTTCTCCTCCTGACTGCCCTTGCCACTATCCGTTCCTGCGGGCTCAAGCGAATCACCTTCCAACACAAACCCTGACGAACCCAGAGGAATCCAATGGAACCTGGAAGTATCTGGAGAAATCCTGAGGAACTGACAAAGACTCCGAAACAATCTGGAGGACTCCCGAAGAATCAAGACGATTCCCACGGAATCCTGAAGAACTTTCTGGAGAACGCCCAGGAAACCCAGGGACTCCTGGAGAATCCTTCGGAATCCGATGGGCCTCTGCGAAGCCCAGAAGAACCCTGAGGAACTTCGAGGAAACCCAAGGAATCCTAAAAAATCCTGCGGAATCCTCGGAAAGATTGGGGAAGCCTAAAGAATCCCAGTGGATCCAACGAGATCCACAATAACCCTGAAGACTCCTACTAATACGAGCAACTAACACTACTTTAAGCGGCACGGTCGGCCAATTGTGCTCAAAACCAGCCGACCTTGAAATAATCCAACCCCTGCTAAGTATGCCACGCACATGTCGCCACGCGAAGCTTCCGTCTGCAGCCGAGAATAATTGCGCATTGTATGAATCAAGCGGCGCAGCGAACGGAGACACGCAGACATCGAGTCCTCAATCGCGCGCAGAACTGAGGAATGAAATCTTTACCCCCAAAGTCTCATGCGGAAAATCCGCCGCCGCGCTTGCGAGGAATGGGCGCGTTGGAATGCCCGACTGTTGCCCAAAAGCTTCCCTGAAGACCCTGGCCCACAATCCAGAAACAGTGGCGGGACGGGCCGAAGACCGTTCGATCTTTGACGGTGTGGGAACCCGCACAAAGACCTCTCCTCGTCCTCATGCTCCTCCCTCTCCCCCGTCCTCCTCCTCCTCCTCCTCCTCCTCCTCCTCCTCCTCCTCCTCCTCCTCATTATCCTCCTCCTCCGCCTGCTCCTCCTTTCCGCATTATCCGTCTCATACTCGTCGCCCTCCATATTGCTCTCCTCCATTTCCTCCTTCCACGGATTCGGTACGTGTTCATGATTGATGTTCCTGGGGCCCAGCGAGGGCCCCCAGAAGCCGAAAACGGCCGAAACTTTTCGGCATGTTTTTTCGCGACGCAAGCACATCTGGGTGTAGCAACCTCCAAGGCTGGGCGGACGTGCCGAATTCGCCTGGGCTGCCGCCCTGGCCTGAAACAACTGCGTGCACTGCGGGTGAATTGCTTAGAGGCCTCCCGGAGGGAATCCGAGTAGATGGGGTCGCAGGATCGCGCCGCATCGCCAATGCATCGCCGATGCATCGGCGATGCATCGCCAATGCATCGGCAATGTCAGCGACGCATCGGCGCCGTCGGAGTGGAGAGAATCGGGCTGCACATCAGCCGAATCGCCAGTGTCTGCCCAGGTTCCGCTTTTGCTGGCCCCGGGGCCCGAAGACGGCCCCTGGAGGCCAAAAGAAGCCAAAAACCGTCTCGAACCCAGCACCTCGAACATGCGGCACGCTCCTCCGACCCCATCTTCGGCGGCGAGCGTGGGGGAAGCCTTCTCAGAAGGCGCGGAAGTCCCCCGGCCTTATGAGAAGTGTCCGAAGCCTTCCCCGAAGACACCAACAACCTCTCAGCAGGCGCGAGGGGCCTGCGGCCTCCGAAGTCCCGCCGCCTTCTGAGAAGCCCTTCGCCTTCTCCGCCTCCCCGCCTCGCGCGCCGCCGATTCCATCGGGGAGGCCTGGGATTGCTCGCGGCGGGCGCCTCTCGGCGGACCCCGCCGGGCGGCCGCCGGGCGGCCGCCGGGCGGCCGCCGGGCGTGGAGAGGCCTCGGGTGTCCGGCGCGCGGGGTCCGAGGCAGGGGGGGATCGGGTCGGTGGGACTCGACACTTCAGCGGCCTGCGAGCCGTCCTCGGACTGGCACCCCAAAGGCTGGTGAAGAAGCGGGAAAGGAAGGGGGAAAGCAAGGTGCGAGCACGACGAGCGCAAAAAATGTGGCGCTTGCACAAGGTGGGAGGGAGGAGGAGGGAGGAGGGAGAGGAAGGAAGGGGAGGAATCTCCGGCAGCTCCTCCTCCTCCTCCTCCTCTTTCCTCCTCCTCCGCCTCCGCCTCCGCCTCCGCCTCCGCCTTCGCCTCCGCCTCCGCCTCCACCTGCGCCTCCTCCGCCTCCGCCTCCGCCTCCGCCTCCGCCTCCGCCTCCTCCCTCCTCCTCCTCCTCCTCCTCCTCCTGCTCCTCCCCCTCCTCCTCCTCGTCCTCCTCCTCCTCGTCCTCTTCCTCCTCCTCCTTTTTTTCCTCCACCTCCTCCTTTCCTCATCCTCCTCCTCTTCCTCCTCCTCCTCCACGTATTCGTCTTAGTATTACTATTCTTCTTATTACGGTTAATAATAGTATTAGTCTTTTGAATATGCTTATCAGTAGTAGTGTCAGTCGTCGTTTTCCTTGTGATTTAAAAATGATAGTACGCTCACTAGTATTAGTGTAATGCGTATTACTGTACTTCTTGTTCGTCATAGTAGTATGACTCGCCTTCTTAATATTAGTAATATGATTCGTACTATTAAAAGTGTTATGTTTGTTATCCGTAGTATTATGTGTACTTATCTTGCTCGTCTTAATAATACGATTATCCTTATTTTCCTGAATCGTTGTATTAGTAACATTAATAGTATTAGTAATTTTGTTCGTATTAGCCTTATTATTACTATTCGGATTCGTATTGTTCGTCTTATGATTGTTATTATTATGTGTCTTCTTAACAGTATTCTTAGTCTTGGAATGTTTATTATTATTCCTCTTCCTCCTCCTCCCCCTCCTCCTCCTCCTTCCCCTCCTTTTCCTCCTCGACCCTCGACCTTCGAACTACGAGCTTGCCCGAGGCTTCGCCCTCCGCCCGCCGGCCGCCGCCCGCCCGCCGGGGCCGACAGGCCCCCGGCCGCTCAGCCGGCGGCGCGCGGCGCGGCGCCACCGGCGGCCGCCTGCAGCCCCATGGCGCGGCGCAGCGCCACGGCGGCCGATAGGGCCGCCGCCGCCGCCGGCGCGCCCGCGCCCTGGCGCCAGGCGCGGCCCCGCGCCCGGCGGCGGCGACGGCGGCGGCGGCGGCGGCGGCGGCGGCGGCGGCGCCACGGCGGCCACGGTGACGGCGGCGGCGACGGCGCCTGGAGACGACAGCGGCCCGCGGCGGCGGCGGCGGCGCCCGGCGGCGGCGGCGGCGCCGCGCGGCAAGCAAAGGCGGCGGCGGCGACGCCACGGCGGCGGAAGCTGCGGCGGCGGCCGCCTGGGTCACGGCGTCGGCCGCCGCCGGCTTCGCGCCGGCGCCCCCGTCGAGCAGGGTATGCGCCGCCTGGCCAGCCGGCCGCAGCTGAGGGAGGCGTGTCCCTCCACCTCCTCAGACCTCTGGGACCGAGATTCGAGGATCTAGGTTTTCGGGCGGTTCTGCGCCTCCCTGGGGCTCTTGAAGGCCTCGTGGCAAGTCTATTTATGCAAGCCCCCTCCCGTTGCGAAGGAAACACGGCATGGACACAGCTCCAGGGGATATACGCTGTGAAAAAAACAAAAACAAGACTGAAGGCTTTTGGTCAGTTTCGGCCTGTGGGGTCCCTTACCGTGCCCTGGGGCAATAAGAAAGCTACTCAGAATGAAAATTCGATCCCCAGGAAGGGTCCAGACAATACCAGATCTCCGAGGGTCCACGTTGTAAAAAACACGACGTCGGAGTTCTGGGTTCCCTTTGAGCGAAGGCCCTCGCTCGCGTCGACAACCTCCCCAGACCTCCGACTGTAGAATCCTCGTGGCAAGTCTATTTATGCAAGCCCCCTCCCGTTGCGAAGGAAACACGGCATGGACACAGCTCCAGGGGATATACGCTGTGAAAAAAACAAAAACAAGACTGAAGGCTTTTGGTCAGTTTCGGCCTGTGGGGTCCCTTACCGTGCCCTGGGGCAATAAGAAAGCTACTCAGAATGAAAATTCGATCCCCAGGAAGGGTCCAGACAATACCAGATCTCCGAGGGTCCACGTTGTAAAAAACACGACGTCGGAGTTCTGGGTTCCCTTTGAGCGAAGGCCCTCGCTCGCGTCGACAACCTCCCCAGACCTCCGACTGTAGAATCATTACAGGTGACCACATGTGAAACCTACCCCTGCAGATCAGATTTCTGGAACGCCAAGAGGGGTTCACACTTCGAAGGATATCTGCACATATACCTCAGCGGGGGAGTCAAACACCTGGCGTCGATCGGACTCGTATGGGGTGAGGATCGCAAGTGGTCGCAGAATTTTCTATCGCAGCGGTTTTCCTTCAGTTTGGCATCTGGGGGGGGTCGCTTTAGGGCCCTGGGGCCATCAACGACGGACCTGGGACCGAAAATTCCTCCCACGGAGGGGGTCGGGGGCACTGGGGCGACGGATGCAAAAAAGTCAAGTCGCAGGATGGCTGGGCCTCTGGAAGGGTGTCGAGGCCGATGGACCCCCTGGAGGGTCCGGGCCAAGCAGAATTCCGGCGTCGTGATGTCGTCACAACGCGGACCCCTGGAGTTATGTTGTTCCAATTGTACTTGAGGACCACATCCCAGCAATAATTTCGAGCACCCAGGGAAGTATCGAAACAAGCTCGAACGAGCATCGCCTGCCAGGGCCCGACACGTGAAAAGTCTCCAATTTTGGTACTCTCTTGGTGCTCGAAATTCTTCCTGGCGGTCAAGGCTAAAGTAGGCTCGAACATCATAACCCTGGAGGCCTCGACCCATTCCCCATGACGGACGCCCCGTCCCCGGCCGTTCTTCGACGGTGCTGGGCCCGGCGAGGACCCCCCAGAGGCCGAAAATGGCAAAAAAGAGTTCCGTCGTCGTCGTCGTCGTCGTCAGCATCGTCGTCGTCGGCGTGGTCGTCGCCGTCTCGTCGACGTCGGCGTCGTCGTCGTCGGCGTCGTCGGGCCAGTGCCCTGGGGGAGGCTCTGGGCCGCGGCTCCCCTGGCTGCGGCTGGCCTGCCTGGAGCACGGCGTCGGGCAGGTCGGGCGAGCCGGGGCGGTCGCTGCGGGAGGTGTCGAGGCAGCTCCACGCGGGCGTCGCCTGGGGGCGGCGCGCCAGGACATAAGTCGGCGCGTTTGGCGCAAAGGCACGCTGAGAGGCGTTTGAGACTGGTTGCCATAATCTGGCCTCTGCACGCTCGATGGAAGATACCCTTTTGCATGCGCTATTCGCCCTGACCCCCCCTGCCCCAGCAATAGGGGGCGAAGGGTGTGCGGGGCCTTCTCAGTGGGCGGGGGGCTGATTTGTTGGGTATTGCTTCTTGGTGGGGGGGGCGACACATGTGGGAAGGGGCGAAGAAACGTACACCTGTCGTGGCCTCTTCTGGGCCCCAGAGATTCCCTTGAGGGCCCCAGAGGGCCCCCTTTTTGTCCCCCCATTACGCAGAGCCCGACTTTGCAAGGGTCGGCAGCTTCCAGGAAGGCCTCCTGGAACCTTGAGATCCGGCCTCGCTTGGGGGGGGGCAGAAAAAAAATCCTCCTCCTCCTCCTCCTCCTCCTCCTCCTCCTCCTCCTCCTCCTCCTCCTCCTCCTCCTCCTCCGCATCATCATCATCATCATCATCATCATCATCATCATCATCATCATCATCATCATCATCATCATCATCATCATCATCATCATCATCATCATCATCATCATCATCATCATCATCATCATCATCATCATCATCATCATCATCATCATCATCATCATCATCATCATCATCATCATCAGCATCATCATCAGCATCAGCATCATCATCATCATCATCATCATCATCATCAGCATCATCATCATCATCATCATCATCATCATCATCATCATCATCATCATCATCATCATCATCATCATCATCATCATCATCATCATCATCATCATCATCATCATCATCATCATCATCATCATCATCATCATCATCATCATCATCATCGTCATCATCATCATCATCATCATCATCAGCCATCATCATCATCATCATCATCATCATCAGCAGCAGCAGCAGCAGCAGCACCATCAGCATCATCATCATCAGCATCATCAGCAGCATCAGCATCATTATCAGCAGCAGCAGCATCATCAGCATCAGCATCATCATCAGCATCGTCATCATAATCATCATCATAATCAGCATCATCAGCATCATCAGCATCATCATCAGCATCATCATCAGAATCATCATCATCATCAGCATCATCAGCATCATCAGCATCATCATCATCATCATCAGCATCAGCAGCAGCATCAGCATCAGCATCAGCATCAGCATCAGCATCCTGCGCCTCCTCCTCCTCCTCCTCCTCCTCCGGAGAGGGCCGCGTCCCTCCCCCCCGGGCGCCCATCCCCCTTCTGCGCCGCCAGCGGGGCCTGGCCAGAGGGCCCAGCGGTCGTGGCGGTATCTGCGCCGTCGCCTGGGCTCCACCTGGAGCAGAGGGAAAAAACGGGGCGGGCTTGAAGAAGAGTCGAAGAGGATCGACGAGGATCGAGGAGGATCGAAGAGAATCGAGGATCGTGGAGGAGGAGGACCGAGCAGGAGGAGGATCGAGGATCGAGGTGGAGGTCCGAAGAGGAGGAGCGGACGGCACAGGCATAAACGCTCGGAGGTCCGCGCGGACTTCTTCGGTCGGCACTAGATGCCCCCTCCTCCACCCTCCCAGGTCCCCGACGTCGTAACTTTTCCAACAACGTGGACCCCAAGAGGTCTAGACCCCTTGCCTGAGAAAAGCTTCGCATCCGGGGGCGCTCTTTGACGGTTTTTGGGCCCGGTAAGGGCCCCCCGGAGGCCGAAAATTCCCCTCTTATGTCGCAGTGCGGCAGGGGCAGTCCGCACGCGCGCTCGGGCAAGCCGGGAGACGGCATCGCTCAAAGGCCGAAAATTGCCCAACACATACCGTCATAATTTGCTCAACTTGGTGGCCTTCGCTTGGACGCCTTCTAGACCTGCCTTCCCTTCTCGCCTCCCTCTTCCCCCTGCTCCCTGCTACAATTTCTCCTCTCAAGAGAGAAGGCACTCCTAAACGAGCATAAACTTTTCGAGCTCTGAACGGGTTTGTCTTGGATCGGCGCTGGACACCCCCCCCCTGGCGCGCGAAACGCTCCAGGGTCGGCGCCGGGGGTGCCGCTAGATGGGTCCAGCGCCAACCAAGGAATCCGCGCGAAGGGTATGCCTTGCGCTGCTTTTCTTCTGCGACTACTGCCATGACCTTTGGCCTTCCCGGCACCCATCCATACCGTCCATACCGGAGTACAGCCGGGCCTGGGACAGATGGACATCCTTCAAGAACATGAAGCCCTCCGCCGACCAAACTGAAGAACATTCGAGGGTGCCCTCCCCCAGGATGCACTAGAACATCCAACAAACGCGAAGATCAGTAGGGTACCCTCCCCGAGCCGACCTCAACCTTAAAACCTCGGTCCGACTGCACGCTGGGATGGCTACCCTGCCCCGTCCTGGCCGTGGCTGCAGAACGGAGACGGGCATTTCTGCCGAGCCGGAGGGCCTGAAGCCTGGAGGACGCATCGGGCGCCGCGGCCGCTCTGAAGCGCTCTGGCACGGCACGCGCCGACCGTCCGAACTGGAGGCGGTGCCGACGACGGCGACGTCGGGGCGGAACGATCGGGCTCCGCATCCTGCGACCATCTTCTCCGACCCCATGTGGTCGTTTCCTTATTCGGCGTTTCGACGTTGGGCGGAGGGGGCGGTGGGGGAGGGGAGAGGGTCTGGCTCTGGACTTCTGCTGAACGCGACTGTTTGCAGCAGCGCGTCCTCTGAGGGAGACTCCACCTGCTTGATGAAGGCGCCAAAAACAACCAAGATCTGATCTATTGTAGAGGCATCCTAGATGGGGTCGGAGTTGATGGGGTCGGAGGATCACGTCGAATCGCCGATGCATCGGCGATGCATCGGCGATGCACCAGCGATGCATCGTCGACGTCGGCGATGCGTCGGCGACGTCGACGTGAAGCAAATCGGGCTCCACGTCGAGCGGCAGCGGCGATGCTTCGGCGATGCGGCGCGATGCTCCCACCCAATCTACTCCGACCCCGTCTAGGAGGCCGAGACATTGGGGGGGGGTGCGAGGGCCCGCGCCGATCGGCAAAACAAGAAATACACGTCGGTCGGAAGAAGTAGGTAGAAACATGAAGTAGGAAGGCGGATATAGTGGATGGGGTCCAGGTCCTCCCAGAGAGTAACAAAACACGACAGAAGCACGTCGATTTTTGAAGCAGGAAGGCGCTTGAAGTGGATTGGGACCTGGGAATCCAAAAATACCTACTTCCAACGACGGGCGTGTAAGGAAACGGCAGAACTGGGTTTAGTGGGACCTGGTTTAGCGATGGGCACTGGGGGACGCCCCTCCGCCCCGTTCCACTAACCGGAACTGCCGTCACCCGGAAAAACACCAGCTATGGCAAACCTGGTTTGGTGATTCTGGCCAATTCGAAGGCTCTGGGGCCCTACCACTAACCGGGTCCCCTTACCCGGGGTCCTGGCCATACCCGACTCTGGGAGGCCTCGAATTTCCGTCGCACCGGCCACCGCTTGCCGGCCCCGCGCGAGGGGGCGCGGCAGGGCGGGCTGCAGGCGTCCACGGGCGGCGCGGGCGCACGCCCGGGAGCGCAGGCGCCCGCCTGCTCCGAGGGTCGGGGCGCCGGCAGCTCTCTCACCGAAGGGGCCCAGGAAGGCACAGACGAACGGACACAGAGGTCCAGGACTCCCCAGACTGTCACGTGTCTGCTGGATTCTCGTCTCCCACTCCATCCCCCATACTTCTCATGTCTCCCAACCATCATGTGGTGCAGGGTCCTCGTTTTGAAGAGACAGCGCCCCGCGTTCCCCCTCCTCCTCCTCCTCCTCCTCCTCCTCCTCCTCCTCCTCCTCCTCCTCCTCCTCCTCTTCCTCCTCCTCCTCCTCCTCCTCCTCCTCCTCCTCCTCCTCCTCCTCCTCCTCCTCCTTCTCCTCCTCCTCCTCCTCCTCCTCGCCCCGCCTCCTCATTTTCCCTCCCATCCCTGCCTCTGCCCTTCGCATGTTCACCATTTCAGCGCACCCAGTACAGCGCTTCGCGGCCCCATAGGGAGCTCCACTGAAGGCCCCAGCGGCTGTGACCACATGCGCCCGCGCTGCCCAGTGGAGCGTTTCATGGCCCCACAGGGAACTCCACCGCAGAACCCCGTTGCTGTGACCACATGAGTCCAAGCGACCCAGTACAGCGTCTCGTGGCCGCATAAGGGGCCCCAGTGGCTGTTGCCCACATGCGTCCGCACCACCCAATACAGCGCTTCGTGGCCGCACAGGGAGCTCCACCGAAGGCCCCAGTGGCTGTGATCACAGGCGCCTTCCCCGACCCATTTCCGCACGCCCCTCGTGCGTTTCGCGGCCTGCCCCTAGGGAGCTCCACCGAAGGCCTCGCGGCGGTGTCCACATGCTCCCCCCGCTCATGTCGGCATACCCCTCACACGTCCCGCGGCCCCCTAAGAAGTTCCCCCTCCTTCGTCCGACCTGCCTTGCGGCACTGAAAATTGCGTCTGGTTGGGTCCTTCGCCAGGAGAAGCTCATAAATATATATATATATATATATATATATATATATATATGCTTTGGCGGGCTCACGGGCGCCAGCCCTCATATATTCTTGTTATACCAGAGGCAGACCAGAATACATGTCTGTGTGATATTGCCCCGGAGCCAACTGCAAAGAGGCCTCCTACCCGACTTCTTGGGCCAAGGCCTCCGACGATCACACGACCGCGCAATTGTATACACTGCTCCAGTTTAAAGGGTTGGGGCGACTGAACAGGAGCGATGGGTGGGAAGTTTGAGCACAAGTGGCAGCAGACGGACGTGCTGCGTCGGCGCGCTTCCACCCGACCTATCGCAGAGAACACCAGGCACGCCAAAGCAATATGTGCTTTGGCGGGCTCACGGGCGCCAGCCCTCATATATTCTTGTTATACCAGAGGCAGACCAGAATACATGTCTGTGTGATATTGCCCCGGAGAGCCAACTGCAGAGAGGCCTGCTACCCGACTTCTCGGCCAAGGCCCCCGACGATCACACGACCGAAACAGCGAGCAATAAATTTAACTTTGCGAAGCACTCTACTCGCCGCCAGGCCACATATCTTGATAACGTTCGGAATACCTGGTTTCGAAGAGCTTGCTTATATGTTTGCACGATCTGCCTACACATGTCTACTGGGTAGGGCTCCGCTATATGAGTCCAGAAACGTCCTGGTGGATCTTTACCTTCTAAAACCTTGTGGGGGCGCTGAGAGAAACTACAGATTCCACGACCCCTGCATTGGGCTTCCTCAAGCCTGGAGAGGTCGAGATGACAGTATCGAAGCCTGGTTCGCTTACGCCATGGCTTCCCAAAAAGCGCAGAAGTCTACGACAACGTCCTGGACATTCCCAAGGCGAGCCAGAGAAAGGGCCCCGGGCAGAGACCACAACCAAGAGGTCGCAGGGTTTTCTAAAACCACGGGGGCCCGGAGGGCCCGGCACAAAGTAAACCGGCCAAAGCTGAAACGAGAGAGGGCATTACCTCTACTAGTTTTAAGAGCATCAGCGGGCGAGCGATCAGGGAGGCCCAAGGGGAACTCAGCATTACGAAGTGGTGGCGGTCCTCCAGGCCTGTTTCTTGCTCTGGATAGTGACTGGCAAGGCGTAGCAATCCACACGGCGGATATCTGCCTTCCTCGAATCCAACCTCAAATGAGACGCTGATCGCGGCGACTGAGGGCACCTGCATTGGCATCGTGAGTTATGTCGGACTCGAACGCTGCAACTGGTCCTTCGAATGACAATCGCCACGCGTGGGAAAGCCTCCCACTCCCAGAGAAGACTTCCAGCGTCACGGGCCTGCCCTGGGCTGAGACGAAGGCTGACAGGTGGCGCAGAGGACGTCGCCAACTGTGGCCAGCGCGCGGCGCGCCAGCGCCTGCACCACCGCTGGGAGGGCGTTCAGCTGCTCCTGGATGCGGCCTCCCTTGGCGCACCTCGTGACGGCCTGGTCGGTGGCCCACCTGCCTCTTTGCTTTACCTCGCCCTGGGCGCGGGATTTCACAAGCAGCTCGTGGCTCGCGCCGCCGTGCCTCAGCTGGTGAAGGGTCAGCGGCCCCAGCGACTGCAGCCCTGCGGCTCGGGTAGCCGCCTGGAACTTCGTGTTCCACTCGTTGTGGCTCGCGTCGAACAGGGGCTGCCCCGCCGGTCGGGTTGCCAGCAGCCGCTGCAGCAGGCCGGGCAGCCAGGGGAACGCGGGGCTGTCGATCAGCAGGGAGTCGTCGTACACCCCCGTCTTGCTCGAGACCCCCTTCTCGCGAGGGTGAGGGGTCACGCCCCACGCGCCCTGAGGCCCACCGTGCAGCGCGGACGGCTTGACCAGGCTGTCGGCGGTCAGCAGCAGCGCCTCCGACGGCCTCAAGTACAGGGCGAACGCCACCGCGGTCAGGGCTGCGATCGTCGACTCGCCGGCGCTCACCAGCGCGCGAATGACGAGACAGCACGCCGCCCAAGGGAGCGGCAATCTCGACCGGGGCGGAGCCAAGCGCTTCCAGCCCTTCGCCGCCCGCACGGCCCTCGGCAGGCTCGAGTACTTCAGCCCCAGGTCGAGGCCCTGGAACGACAGCGCCGCGAACAGCTTCCAAGCGTCGGTGCTCTCGCCGCCCCCCAGATACTGCTCAGGGAAGTGCACGACCAAGGCAGCGCCCAGCGATACAGCAATCGACACCGTCAGCGCCATCATCTGGGCCCAGCGCGCGAACGCCCGAGCCCGGCGTCGGTAGCCCCTCCGGGTCGGCGCGGACACCGACTCCGTCTCCAGCAAGGTTCCGGTCTCGCCGACGGTCGGGACAATCTCGCGGCCCACCTGCTGTCGCCTCTGCAAGCGACGCACAGCACGGCGATCGCTCTCCTTCACCGTCGAGGCCCGTGCCGAGCCCGGGCGGCCCGCGGCTGAGCCTGGGCGGAGGCTCGAGGCCGGGCGGCGGCACGCAGTTGCCGCGGCCCGAGGGGCCCGGGGGGGCCCCTCCCGCTGCCAGGCGCAGCGGAGCAGCCTCGGACATCGGCCGCAGCGCTGCGGCCCGCCTCTGCGACCAGTCCTGGCCGATTCCGGGAGGCGGGGTCAGCGCTATTGTGCTCCGACGGCAGCCAACGCCAGGCCACGCCGCAGCCACTGCAGAGGACGAGGGCCGCAGCCTGCCTGCAGATGCGCTGCAGCGGAGCCGAAGAGGAGCGCCCCTTGAGCAAAGCGAGCAGCGGGGCCATTGAGTCATTCAGGATGACGCGTGTCTTACCGAAGTTGCTCACCGCTCGAAGACGGTGACGGAGACAACAAACGAGACCTCGGCCTTCGAGAATCACCTGAGCTTCCTCACGGCCCCAGGGCCTAGACAGGACCCGCTTCCAGGCCCCGCCCCAGACATCCCTCGGGGCGCTCTTGAACTCGGCCCCCGGGGGCCTCGGGAACACCTTGATGGTACCATGTAGGGCGCCAGGGGCTCCAGGGTGACTTTCAGGGGCCCCACCTGTCGATGTCGAACTTCCGAGGCGCGACCGATTTCTCCGAGTCCTTCCCGAACTTCCACCGCTCGCTACACGACGACAGCTCGACGGCGTTCTGCTCCACGGCCTTTTCGGCGATGCCGACCCGCCACCACGAAGCGTCCACACACGATGTAGCACTGCCGACAGGACGTCCAGCATTTCTGTAGCATAGTACCACCAGGGCTTTGCCCCATCGATGCTCACGACGAACCGCTGCCCAAAGGGGAACAATGCGAGGCCCTGCAGTATCTACGAAGGTGTACACAGCCCCGAGTACGCCAAGCAATTCCCGCCGAATAAGACCACGAGAGGTAAAGTGTGAAACAATCTTTCTGAGGGTATCTCCAGAACACTCGCCTTGATCCAGAAGACGTCGCATGCCTAGGCGGAGCCTCCAACGAAGCCGAGGATTCAAACCGATGATCGCGCCCATGCCCCCGAACTCCCAGCCCAGAGTCTGACAGCCATGCCCCTCCCCCACCGGATGCGTAGGCAGACCGACTCGCTGAAGTTCTGCGTTGACTGCTCCAGCGACATCTCCTGCCTCCAGACGCGCGCGCGCGAGAGAGACAAACTTGTCCACATATTCTGTGCGAGTGCACCCCTTACTGAGATCTGGAGCTGGCCTACGGTCCACCAAGAGGTTATGAGTACTAACTCCAAGAACTCGGGAACTGATCGTTTCGTCAATGGTCTGGCAGATCCACAAACTCACGCCCCACCCCATCGGAGGGCATCGGAAACACGGAATAACTTTCTGCTGAGGTCTGACGGGGGCCCCACATGCAAGACGATCGACGTTGAAGCCACCTGCTCGAACGGGCGGGAGACCGAAATACTTTTGCAACCAGGCGGCGAGCAGGACGTTGTAGAAGGCATCTGCAATGTCCACGCCTGCCACGGCGATGGGAGCGCCCCCATCCACAGCAATCTGACTAAACGGCGCGCCCGAAGCGAGCTCGACTTTACCAGCAGTGCCAAAACGAGGGGAAGCAAAACGCCCGTCCAGAATCATCCGAAGGTCGCCTGATTTCTTGCGCACGAAGATAAGCCCGACCGAACACTCGCACGACGAGTGGAAGTTGATC